TACACACTTGAGTATATCAGAAGTGGCATATTTTACTGAGGACAGAAGATTGGTTGACAAACTGGGATAAAGTACTAGCTGAGGGCAGGGTTCCCTTAAACCCTTAGTCTAGTTCTTAAACAGAGGAATTCAGCGAGCCAAGCTACGACCCTTCCAGCTAAGGCCACCCATGCATGCACACACAGTTATTTTGTGTGAAAGCAATGAGACAAAATTCAACTCTGAAACCTTCCAATAAACTTTAAAGTAGTCTATTTTTTTTTTTTCCTCTAAGAATTATGCCTTGGGCAAACTGTGTGTGACCTAAAAAGAGAACCAGATTTTCTGGTTTTGGGTTCCTCCCCTGGCCTTTCACAAGTGCCTAATTCTGCTTATCTATGGTTCTGCTCTACAAACTATTACCTTTTCCCTGAATGTGCCTAAGCCCTGCAGAATCTCCAAATCTTATGTCGGATCACTGCAACTAATCTTTCGCAATCAACAGAATAACTGACATGTGAGCAACTCAAACTAACATAACTCAGTTCGTTCTTTATTAAGACAACAGACTTAGGGCACCGGACCAGGGACGAGGCACAGGGTTATGGGGTTATTGATACTCCCCGAGGCCTAGTGACATTCTGCAAAAGTCTTCAACTTCATTGCTGACAGCAGGCACAAGCATTAGGTCTCCAAGCAAAAAGTAACTTCATTGGCTTTTATGAGATTGCTAAAACAGCCAGCAATTAGTGTAGAGTAAGATCTGCAGTAAAAGAAGGAGGCTTATAATACAGAAACCTTAGAGTGAAATCAACACGCTTGCATTTACATTGCCAAACCATTAGGTAGCAACCACCTGTCACTCTAGCTTGTGGTTTGCTGTCGGTAGGTGAAAAGAAATTTCACGCCTCTCCATTGCCATATAAATTCATTTACTTAAAAGATGCATACAAATTTATGAGGACGCATAACAAACCTACTTTTTTTAAAAAAAGCAAGGCCATCATACCCGGACCTTCTCGTCTTTTGATGTGCTCTATATTCACAGAAGTTTGCTTTGCAGTACCCTTCCACGGACACAACAAAATCTGGCCATTCAATAACAAATAAGAAGAAAAGATTTATATTCAAAAATGGAGTTGTATTCATCTTGTAGAAAACTATTTGGCTTTTAGAAAACTGTCCCAGAATGACATGAAATTTCTAGTTAAGGAAATTTACTTAGTCTACAATTTATATGCCAGACAGGTCAGTGCCAAGACAGGACTAAATTAGAATCTGAAAGTCTTTTATAGAGCTAGAATTGGCAGAATAGAAAGTGTGTGAATACAGATATAATCACAGTAGTGGAAAATAAGCTAAACTTAACCAAAGTAATCTGGAAGAGTTATCATCATAAACAAAACCAATCTGCTGAAGTCTAGATAAGTTAAATGGGAGTAAAACAAAAAAAAAATTAAAAATTAAATATAAGTTCGGTAAATGAAACTTTAAATTTAATTTAAAAGAAAAAGCAAATCGGAATACCAGGCAAGCAATAGCCTGCCGGTTTTATGATATTAATCTCAAAAAAACATATGTAGGTCACCAAGGAAAACACATGGCTTATAGCCTTGCAATACTTCCCCCCAAAATTTAAATAAATATGGTTGTACTTAGTGATAAAGAACAATTCAGATCTTTGCTTATGATACATCTACCACAGTCAGATGACAAGGGAAAGCTCTTGCTTGGTCACAGGTTTCACATTCGGTAGAAATATCACCTTGTGTACTAACGTGATACCTATTTAAAAGAAGCACAGATACATGGAGCAACCATGTAACAATATTAAAATGGCCTGATAACCAGGCCCTGATTCTCATTTCCATGAAGGACCAGCACCCTGGTAATTTAAGAGGGCATTACAACAAAGGAAAAACAACTTTAAGGCCTAATGTAAATAAATATTGTGTCTTTCTATTACTTCTATTTTTGGTAAAATGCACCTAATATTTCTGCCAGAGTAATAAATAAAACTAAGTTAAGTTTTAAAATACAGATGCTCTGTATCGCAGCCAAATTGAACTACTTCAGTATACAGTGTATTTGTAAATTACTTAACGGTCAGCAAGACAGTTGCTGAGTTTATAATTCACTAATAACAATTTGCAGTATTTTAAAGTTGGCAACTCAACATGTAATCTTAATGCTATTTTCAACAGAAGGTTTTTTTTTTGTTTTGTTTTGGTTTTTAAGCAGAGAAATTAGTGGTGACCTACTGATAATGTTCTTCCTGTACTATCAAGTAAAAGATAAGGACTTAGCTGACGGCCTGAGATGCTTTCTCTCGAAGCCAGTGCAATGAAAACATTATAGATGTTTAAAAATCCCACAGTGTCATGTGTATCAGCATTACGCTCCTTCCTCTTTTTTCTTTTCCAATTAAAGATGACCATAGGTAGGTTTGAAAAGAAACATCATCCACTCCCATTTAACCCGGAAGACAGCACCCTCGTATTTTCTGAGCGTACCTACGAAAATATGTATGCATTCGAGAGCAGTATTTCTAACCTAGTCTCACACGCTTCGGTTTAGGAAGGCTGATGTGACCCCCCCGCCCCACCGCCTCTGAATAAGAACATCCCTCTAATCCTGGCAGAGCAATGTCCTTCTGAGCAGAGCAACTGCTGTTGTTGTGCAATATACAAATACAGGCATGCAGCAAATATACAGCAACTCCTCTATTTTTTTTTCCATCGACTCTGTTAGTACTCATTTAATTTCTGGGGGAGGATGGAAGGGCAGATAAAAGCTGGGTGTATTTTTAAATTTTTTTTGTGTTAAGGTAATACTTTACTATTTTAAATCAACAGTAATATACATCTGTGGGAAAAAGGCTGATAAACTCAGAACAACGAGACCAGGATTCCTAGGTTTCGCATTTCAGCTCTAAGACTGCAGGCTTGTAAACTTGGATAAGTTGCTTAATGGTTACCTGTTCAGGTTGGTCACAAAATGTAAAGCTTAAATATGCTAATGGGATATTTAAACACTAAGCATTGTTTTATAAAACATTTTGAAGAGGGAGAATTATGCAAGCCTTATATTTACTACTACAGTGAATAAACCTGTGCCGAAATAATTTAGTTCCTAGAAGTTCTGTTACATACTATTTGGATTAGACTAAAAGAGAATTATAGATTCGTTCAGCTGGTACTATTAAACTCCTGATAACCTCAGCAACAGAAAAAGAAAGCCAGTTAGAAAGGAGAAGACAGAGAAAAAATAACAATAGTCTTCCTTTAGGCTTTAAGGGGAAAAAAGTAGTAAGATTTAATTTTACGTTTCAGGACACCAGATAAGATTCTAGATCCACTTTTTTCACCATTTGTGTTTCCTTTTCAGACATAACACTGAGGCTTAACGTTCTTCTCTCTGTCAAAATTTGTGGTCAGGCATCTTTTCCTTAAGGTAGGATATGGTACCATTAATACAAATGCAGTGTCTTAATTAATAATGTAGCATCTTTCTTTTTTGCCGGCTCCTTTCAGCCGAAAGGTGGACTGGGAGAGACATGTGCCTTGGCTGATTAGTAAAGTAAGCTTTATACTAATGTAATTTAAATACATGTCATTATTCTATTTTCTTGGTCTGACATCTCATTTCAGTATATTAATAGTTACTGTGAACATTCAGTCCGGACTTGCAGCAAACATAGGTCAGATCAGTACTGTGGTGGTGGCAGAGGCACAGAAATCACAAGCTTAGGACAACTTTCTAGCTTTTTTGTATCATTTAGAACCGCTGCTTTCATTTTTAGCCAATCTGGATTGTGAGCAAATGCCCAAATTTTGGTAAACTCTGTCCACTGAGGTCAAATGAGTTCCTTCCTACACATATGTAATTTTCCCTCACTTCCATGTGCTGATGAATCACTGCGGATCCTTTTCTTTCCCCAAAATAGTCTGGAAAGAGGGAAAAGAAAATATGACCCAGAGCACTGAAATTCCCCATTGTGGCAGAAGCACGCCACCTCCTCTAACTACACAGCCTGTTTTCTCTGCTTGAGCCTAGGTACAGGGAGCAGAGAGGACAGAAAAACAAAATACCGAGTGCTACAACAGACTTGTGGCATTGTTGCTGACCATACTGCCAATTAGACAAATCATAACACGCTACAGTGTGTTCTCCGAAAACCCTAAATCACATAGCAACTGTGCGAGTATACGTTTTTGCAGCAGCAGCTCACATGAAATGTATATTTTTGGTTAAGTTCTCATTCAGAGCTGAGTTGCTGCTCCTGAGGATGGCAGAGTTTGTTAATGTACCTGGCATGTTAATGTACCACTTCCTGATTGTTCTATTTTCATCAATGTGGAACGTATTTATGATTTGTACCTTCACAGGCTACTATACCACAGCCCTTTCCAGAAAATTCCCAATCAGTTGGACCCTTTTAAGTATTATTAGTGTTATACACATGCACTGCTTGACCTGGTGCATACAGAGGAGACAATAAAAAATGTACTACTTTAATGAAATACTGCGTATAATTTTTTCCTTGAAAATATATTAGAGAAATCACAGTGATATAGATATGCATTAATTAGGTAAAAATCTCAGAAGTTTTAATCAAATTTGAAAACAGAGCAATTTCACCACTGCCTACGTCTCAGATTTTAAAATAAAACATATTTAATTTTTTAAACTTAGTTAATTCAAATGAAATGATTCTATGTAAATCTATCTCAAATTGCATGCAGATACGTAAAAGTATTTAATTTAATTTGGTTTTTCTTTCATGTTAGTGGTTTTTTGCTCTTAAATATCTAAGGCAAAACATTTAGCTGTATACTAACGGTAAACCACAATAAAAGCATCAATCGCTTTTGCTGTACATGTTCAGCATATATGAAGAATTAGAATGTTAATTGCTGCACTGCAAAACTCCCAGATATAGCACATTGTATATATTTTTTTCAAACTCATTATAAATGGTTACATTTTTGACTATTAATTCCATGAAAATAAACACTTACTACTGCGCACAGTCAATCAGTTGATATTCGTTTGACCTCTCGAAGCATGCCTTTACGCCTTCATCATCCCAGAGCTTTTTTGCATGTTCAAAGAACTCCTGAAAATTGGAAATGCAATAAATAAGAGAACATTCCTCAATCTTTTCAACCTCCAACCTAAATCTGTTCCTCCTTCCCCCAACACTCAGGCTTTATAATTTTGCAGAATGAGAAATTATATCATTATAGATGAAAAGCAAAAAGCAAAATTACAGTAAAGTATACCGCACATACGGCGGCCAACACAGTTTCTAGTACATGATATGGAATGAAGCTCGTCCTAAAATTTCATACTAGTCCATATGTAAAATTTACCATCGAGACAAACGTTACCTAGAAGCATGCTCGGTTCTATCAAGCTAAGGACACAAAGGTGACGCAAAAAGTGGTTTAGCTTATAAACGCTAGGTTATCAGAGAAAAAAATCAGCTTGTAACTTTAAAAAGATTGTGTTATTTTTCTCCAAAGCAGGACTTTCTGCTATTCAGTATCTTCTCACGCAACACACTAATTTGACTACAGGAATTTCAGTCTCTCTGCTCAATGGCGCTTTCTCCAAGCAGCCGCCTGGCACAACGCTCTTCTCCTAACCGCTGTCCCATGCAACCCAGTTCAGAAATACGTGCTGGCAAGTTGATTTCAAAATTATTTGAAAGCGGAATCAAAGCTATGCTTAACGATGGTGAAGCCACAGCTCAGCTGCACAACACAGAGACACGGACACAGGTCCAGCACTGTCTGACGGCTCCTCTATTACCTGGACTCCTGCTGTATGACAAGACTCACAACATTCATTCTTTTCTAAATCTGGTCGTCAGACTAATAAGTCAAATCATAAATGAATTATTCCAGCTAAAGCTTTATGAAATTAAACCAAGGATGGTCAGACAAATTAAAAAAAAAAAACTACATTTTTCTTTATTTGAAGACTGAATCTGTTTTTTGTCCAAACCGAAGTATTGAAGTAATATATCAACTTAAACACAGAAGTTGGCTGCAACCTTTTAACACCTTAAAAAGGCTACTAAAGCACCAGAACCCTTTGGTCAGTCACAAATTTGCAAAACCCAGCAAAGTACTTAACTCTTCCACAGTTCGATTTGCCTACGTGTAAAATGGGTGTAACAACCACTATTCACTTTATAATTCTGTCGAAACACTCTGTAAATGTCTGACTTCTGAAATTTTCTGTAAACTGTATAATTAATTGACACAGCATGCTTGCCAATCCCTCTCCACACCTTTTCAGAATTAAAAACTTCTCTCAGATAACAAAGTTCCTAGTAAAAGATCCTGGTAACACTCTGTTTGGGTTTCCTAATCCTGAATCCCACCTCCGTGAGGTACCAGAAATACTCTGCTCTTCAGGAACTGATTGCCAGCTGCTGACAAAGCTTTCAGGGAGAGGAAAATACAAAAGGAGACGATTTTCAGAACAAACTGGTATTGAAAACCATGGCAGATATTTCTTAGTTAAACTTGAACATGGCTAGGGAGGTCCCAAATAACCACAGAAATGATTTTTTTTTCCTTTTTCAAATATATTGTGTGAAATGCGGAGAGAGTAGAAGCCACTCTTAAATACGTTTTCAAACTTTAATGAAAAGAAGATGTTAGAACAGGTTACTTGACAGAAAATCTTAGGAGAAAACGAGGAAACAACACTAGAGATTGGCAGATGCTTACACCGACCTTGGAATTTCTTCTTTGGCACTATGAGGACGTGTCTATTTTGTCTTTGTTATTTTAACTACTTAAGCAATGATTGTTTAAAACACTTCACATCCACCTTTTGAAGTTATACTACGACTGGCGACTGGCGTAAGCTTTCCTTTCCTACTGTAGGAAGAAAGCAAAAACAAGCTGAAGAAAGGGCAAGATATCGAATTAAATAAGCTGAAGGAGAAAACTGACACGTGTAATGGAGAACACTTCTACAAGAAAAAGAGAGAATTAAAAAAGAACAAGTAGAGCCAAGTCATATTGATAAATACCAGAAAACATGGAGCATTCTTCAGAATGCGAAGCTTTTGTTTCATTGGTATTCAGCCCATCCACCGTACTCAATGTCACTTGCTGGCACCTTTGCGTAAATAAAGGCATTGCCTTTTAAGTGGAAAAACAGAGTTCTGGATGAGCGGTGGGGTCCTAAGACGAAAGGACTCAGTGGTGCCACCTGCTTTGACGGGTGGTGCATAGCGTGATGGGTGTGATGGGGATGGGCATCCCCTCGTGGTGGCAGCGCCCAGCAGAGCTGGGTGCTGCCTGCTC